TATTGTCTCCATGAGTTTTGTTTCTATAACTGCTATGATGTCTGGGGACTTCTCATTGATTCTTTCTTGCCATTCCTCATGTTTATTCGTTAATCCATCTGCATTTGTGTACCAAACCTTCAACTTCTGTTCTAATACTGTAACTGTGGTGCAGGGGGTGGAAACAGAGGGATCGGTGTGTGATGGTTGGTTTGGATTGTTCAGTTGCCTTGGGGGTATCATGGCTGGAGTCCTTCTGCAGGTGTTTCTGGGGGGTGCGCTTGTCCTTCTATTTGATCCTGGGTTATTCTGCTCTCCTTTTTCATTTCCTCCCATTTCTCCTTTCGTTTTTGAACTCTCTCTTTCACTGTCTTCCTTTCGTCCTGTGTTCTGTCTTGATCGAGGTACACACTCCGGAACTCGTGTGTTGTGTGTGTGTGTGTGTGTGTGTTGTGTGTGTGTGTGTGTGTGTGTGTGTGTGTGTGTGTGTGTGTGTGTGTGTGTATGTGTGTGTGTATGTGTGTGTGTATGTGTGTGTGTATGTATGTGTGTGTATGTGTGTGTGTATGTGTGTGTGTGTGTGTGTGTGTGTGTGTGTGTGTGTGTGTGTGTGTGTGTGTTGTGTGTGTGTTGTGTGTGTGTGTGTATGTGTGTGTGTGTGTGTGTGTGTGTGGTGTGTGTGGTGTGTGTGTGTGTGTGTGTGTGTGTGTGTGTGTGTATGTGTGTGTGTGTGTGTGTGTGTGTGTGTGTGTGTGTGTGTGTGTGTGTGTGTGTGTGTGTGTGTGTGTGTGTGTGTGTGTGTGTGTGTGTGCCCCCACTTCTAAGTATTCATACAGCTAATAAATACCGGTAGATACCAGTAATTCTAAGCTTACCAATACTTGTAACACTTATCAATTCTACTTCTAAAATTCAGAAAGTAGCTAGGTTGTAAAATTTAGCTTGTCTCAGCTTAAGTGTCTGACGTTATCCCTCACTACCGCTTTACTCCTTGCACTCTCGTCTATGCTATTTCTACTCTAATTCTGGTAATGGCTTGCAGGAGTGAGTGATCAGTATCTAACAGTGATGCAGGACCAGAACTCAACCTTGCAAAATGCAACCTCAACAGGTGAGCAATACTTGCGCTGACAGCGGTGTGATGACAAGTTGCCAGATGCTGATGACGTCGTCGTACATAGGCCTTCTATCACTATTTTGTAACTCCTTCACCCGTGATGTTTATAACCATATATGCTCATGCATCCCGCGTTCCTCAAGTGATTTCACTTTTCACTTATTACAGAATACACTTCACATTCGGTGTTACACTTTATATGTATAATGGCATACAAACTGTTGTGACGTCACTGCTTTAGCAGGCCTACTGCCACCTTCCCTTGTTGTACGTTTTATTTTTTCTTTCTCCTTTTGCTTATTAACTTTTTCACTCTCACATTACGGTGTGTGTGTGTGTGTGTGTGTGTGTGTGTGTGTGTGTGTGTGTGTGTGTGTGTGTGTGTGTGTGTGTGTGTGTGTGTGTGTGTGTGTGTGTGTGTGTGTCTGTGTGTGTGTGTGTGTGTGTCTGTGTGTGTGTGTGTGTGTGTCTGTGTGTGTGTGTGTGTGTCTGTGTGTGTGTGTGTGTGTGTGTCTGTGTGTGTGTGTGTGTGTGTCTGTGTGTGTGTGTGTGTGTGTCTGTGTGTGTGTGTGTGTGTGTGTGTGTGTGTGTGTGTGTGTGTTGTGTGTGTGTGTGTGTGTGTGTGTGTGTGTGTGTGTGTGTGTGTGTGTTGTGTGTGTCTGTGTATCTGTATGTGTATCTGTGTGTGTATATGTGTGTGTGTCTGTGTGTGTCTGTGTGTGTGTGTGTGTGTGTGTGTGTGTGTGTGTGTGTGTGTGTGTGTTGTGTGTGTGTGTGTGTTGTGTGTGTGTGTGTGTTGTGTGTGTGTGTGTCTGTGTGTGTGTGTGTGTGTGTGTGTGTGTTGTGTGTGTGTGTGTGTTTTGTGTGTGTGTGTTGTGTGTGTGTGTGTGTGTGTGTGTGTGTGTGTGTGTGTGTGTGTGTGTGTGTGTGTGTGTGTCTGTGTATCTGTATGTGTATCTGTGTGTGTAATGTGTGTGTGTGTGTTGTGTGTGTGTGTGTGTGTGTGTGTGTGTGTGTGTGTCTGTGTGTGTGTGTCTGTGTGTGTGTGTCTGGGGTGTGTGTCTGTGTGTGTTGTGTGTGTGTGTGTGTCTGGTGTGTGTGTCTGGTGTGTGTGTGTCTGGGTGTGTGTGTCTGGGTGTGTGTGTCTGGTGTGTGTGTGGTTGTGTTGTGTGTGTCTGGTGTGTGTGTCTGGGTGTGTGTGTCTGGGTGTGTGTCTGGGTGTGTGTGTCTGGGTGTGTGTGTCTGGGTGTGTGTGTCTGGGTGTGTGTGTCTGGGTGTGTGTGTCTGGGTGTGTGTGTCTGGGTGTGTGTGTCTGGGTGTGTGTGTTCTGGGTGTGTGTGTCTGGTGTGTGGTGTGTGCTGTGGTGTGTGTGTGTGGTGTGTGTGTGTGTGTGTGTGTGTGTGTGTGTGGTGTCTGTGTGTGTGTCTGTGTGTGTGTCTGTGTGTGTGTCTGTGTGTGTGTCTGTGTGTGTGTCTGTGTGTGTGTCTGTGTGTGTGTCTGTGTGTGTGTCTGTGTGTGTGTCTGTGTGTGTGTCTGTGTGTGTGTCTGTGTGTGTCGTCAGGCCGATTTCCCTCAACCTTTCTTCGTAGGACAATCCCCGTAGCTCTGGGACTAGTCTTGTTGCAAACCTTTGCACTTTCTCTAATTTCTTGACGTGCTTGACTAGGTGTGGACTCCAAACTGGTGCTGCATACTCCAGTATGGGCCTGACATAAATGGTATACAGAGTCTTACTGAGGTATCAGAACGCTATCCGTAGGTTTGCCAGGCGCCCGTATGCTGCAGCAGTTATCTGACTGATGTGCGCCTCGGGAGATATGCTCGGTGTTATACTCACCCCCAGATCTTTTTCCTTGAGTGAGATTTGCAGACTTTGGCCGTCTAAACTATATTGTGTCTGCGGTCTTCTTTGCCCTTCCCCAATCTTCATGACTGCATTTGGCAGGGTAAAACTCAAGGAGCCAGTTGCTGGACCAGGCTTGTAGCCTGTCCAGGTCTCTTTGTAGTCCTGCCTGATCCTCATCCGATTTGATTCTTCTCATTAACTTCACATCGTCCGCAAACAAGGACACTTCTGAGTCTATCCCTTCCGTTATGTTATTCACATATACCAAGAACAGCACAGGTCCTAGGACTGACCCCTGTGGAACCCCGCTTGTCACAGGCACCCACTCTGACACCTCGTCACGTACCATGACTCGTTGTTGCCTCCCTGTCAGGTATTCTCTGATCCATTGCAGTGCCTTTCCTGTTATGTGTGCCTGATCCTCTAGCTTTTGCAGTAACCTCTTGTGAGGAACTGTGTCGAAGGCCTTCTTGCAGTCCAAAAAATGCAGTTGATCCACCCCTCTCTCTCTTGTCTTACTTCTGTCACCTTGTCATAAAACTCTAGTAGGTTTGTGACACAGGATTTTCCCTCCTGAAACCATGCTGGTTGCCAATTATACACTTGTTTTTTCCAGGTGCTCCACCACTCTCCTCCTGATGATCTTCTCCATGACCTTGCATACTATACACGTTAGTGATACAGGTCTGTATTTTAGTGCCTCATGTCTGTCTCCTTTTTAAAAATTGGACTACATTTGCCATCTTCCATACCTCGGGGAGTTGCCCAGTTTCAAATGATGTGTTGAAGATCTTTGTTAATGGTACACACAATATCTCTGCTCCCTCTTTAAGGACCCACGGAGAGATGTTGTCTGGTCACACCGCCTTTGAGGTGTCAAGTTCGCATAGCAGCTTCTTCACCTCCTCCTTGGTTATATGTACCTCATCCAGCACTTGCTGGTGCAACCCCCCTGCTCTGATTTCCTGGAGTCCTACTGGTTTCCACTGTAAATACTTCTTTAAATCTTGTGTTAAGCTCCTGACATACCTCCCGGTCGTTTCTTGTGAATTCCCCATCACCCTTCCTCAGTCTGATTACCTGGTCCTTGACTGTTGTTTTCCTCCTGATTGGCTGCCACAACAGCTTCGGGTCAGTCTTGACTTTCGATGCTATGTCATTTTCGTATTGCCGCTGAGCCTCCCTCCTTATCTGTGCATATTCGTTTCTGGCTCTTCAGCTAATCTCTTTATTTTCCTGAGTTCTCTGTCTTCTGTACCTTTTCCATTCTCTAGTACACCTAGTTTTTGCCTCCCTACACCTTTGGGTGAACCAAGGACTCGTTCTGTTCTTCCCATTATTTCTGTTTCCCTTGGGAACAAACCTCTCTCTGCCTCCTTGCATTTTGTTGCCACATAGTCCATCATTTCTTGTACTGGTTTTCCTGTCAGTTCCCTCTCCCACTGAATGTCTTGAAAGAAGTTCCTCAAGCCTGAGTAGTTCCCCCTTTTGTAGTTTGGTTTTTCCCCACCCTATTCCTGCTGCTCTCTCCACTTGGAGCTCAACTATGTAGTCGAAGCACAGAACCACATGATCACTAGCTCCCAGGGGCCTTTCATACATGATATCCTCGATGTCAGAACTACTCAAGGTGAATACAAGGTCCAGTCTTGCTGGTTCATCCTCTCCTCTCTCTCTGGTAGTGTCTCTAACATGTTGATGCATGAGGTTTTCCAGTACCACATCCATCATCTTGGCTCTCCATGTTTCGGGACCCCCATGGGGCTCCAGGCTTTCCCAGTCAATCTCCTTGTGATTGAAATCACCCATAACTAGTAACTTTGCTCCCCCCATGTGTGCTCTCCTGGCCACCTCGGCTAGTGTGTGTGTGTGTGTGTGTGTGTGTGTGTGTGTTGTGTGTGTGTGTGTTTCATTCTCCACCAAACCCACAACACACAAATAAATATACTAAGTGTCAACTTGGTAATGGTCCAGGACGGACAAACGTCATGTGGTTTCCATTTCCAATTCGTGGGTTATTTTTGTATTGTAGATGCAAGGATGGAAGGTAATACTTACAACCAGTGTCTTTGAGCCTGTGGATGGCGGAAGACACGATGCGCACACAGCCCAGGAAGCCGCTGCCAGCCTTCTTGTGAATCTTACGACGGTTCCACACACTGATGCTGATGCCGTCACCCTTACCCACGTATCTGTAACAAAAGCTCATACTCATGCACAAACTTAACTTTAAAAATAAATGCGTCAATGGCACACCAATATCCTGATTAAGCAAGCCATCGAACAGGAGGCCTAGTTTAAGAATGGACCATTCACGTGCGATGATGATTCCTTGAACCATCAGCAGGTAGTCAACAGGTAGGTCGAGAGAAACACTGTGGTATTTGACATACAGCACTCTTATCCCAATTTTCTCTCATTCTTATACCGGACATCAACAAAGACAAATCACAAACATAGCTCAGCTTTATAACATTATATTCATAAGCAAGTCACCCTAGTAAAGGGGTTCTTAACCTTTATTACGATTACAAACCCCCCCAATGGATTGCCCAATATGTCCTCATACCACCTTTACCAAACTCGAAATCACCAGTCCTGTTAGTTCCAGTATGACTTCAAAAGATGTCAATAGCTTGGTTTTACTTGACATATGGACAGCAAGGAACACAACACCTGATAGTTTATTGTAATCTAACAACAATAATTTTTTAATTGTTCAGAGATAAAGCCCCATACCCCCAAGGGGTATGGATACCCCCGGTTAAGAATCCCTGGTGTAGAAGATTACAGGAATATAGGAGCGATCTGTGAAGTTGACTAGAGGCACAAGTACACAATAATAATAATAATATAATAATAATAATAATAATGTACATTTTTTTTCCTTAAATATCTTAACCTTCACATAGATTCGTCAGACTGAATAACTGTAAGCAACTCAGTGTTCTTAATTAAAAGAACGATTGCATACATCTGAAAATATGATTTTCTCCAATAACTTCAAATTTCACTGCACAGAAGACATGTCCCTTGACGCGCTGACCTGGAGTTTTAAGACTCACGCGCCACGAGTTCAATCCCCGCCCGTGGTATGTTTTTTTTCCAGTCGTGTCATTACGATTTCCTGAGTCATGTTTCTTGATATTAAGTCGGTATGTTCACTCTAAGAAAGTAGCGCTGCCTAATAAACTACCTCCTACGCAACACACACACACACACACACACCAAACATAATTCCCCCTGCAATTTTAAGAAAAAATAAAAACATCCCGAATTTTTTTACGAAGCTACTTTGTTTTGACGTAGGCAAAACAGCACTAACAACAGCTGCAACCACTACAGCTGAAACAAATGCAACAGCTGGAACAATAGCACATGCACTTCCCCACCAACAGCAGAAGCAGCGTCATCGCCAATATAACAAGCAGCAGTAGTAACAACACTATCACTAACACAGGCAACCGACGCAGCAGCACCATCACCACAAGAAACAGCAACAGAAGCGAAGCTACCACCACCAACAGAAGCAGCACAATACCGTCACCATAAGCAAAAGGCCCAAAAGCAGTAATACCAAGAGCAGCAGCAACACTACTGCCACCACCATCAAAAGAAATAGGCAACGGCAGTACAAAAAGCTGCACCACAACAACCACCACCAAAACCATCATCAGAAGCAGCAACAGAAACATAACCATAAGCACCACCACTAAAACCATCACCAGAAGCAACAGCAGCACCACCACCACCACAGCTACAACCATCACAAGAAGCCACAGCAGCAGCACCACCACCACCACTAAAACCATCACCAGAAGCCACAGCAGCAGCACCACCACCACAGCTACAACCATCACAAGAAGCCACAGCAGCAGCACCACCACCACAACTAAAACCATCACCAGAAGCCACAGCAGCAGCACCACCACCACAACTAAAACCATCACAAGAAGCCACAGCAGCACCACCACCACCACAACTAAAACCATCACCAGAAGCCACAGCAGCAGCACCACCACCACCACAGCTAAAACCATCACAAGAAGCCACAGCAGCAGCACCACCACCACCACAGCTAAAACCATCACAAGAAGCCACAGCAGCAGCACCACCACCACAACTAAAACCATCACAAGAAGCCACAGCAGCAGCACCACCACCACAACTAAAACCATCACCAGAAGCCACAGCAGCAGCACCACCACCACAACTAAAAACCATCACCAGAAGCCACAGCAGCAGCACCACCACCACCACAACTAAAACCATCACAAGAAGCCACAGCGCACACCACCACCACCACAACTAAAACCATCACCAGAAGCCACAGCAGCAGCACCACCACCACAACTAAAACCATCACAAGAAGCCACAGCAGCACCACCACCACAACTAAAACCATCACCAGAAGCCACAGCAGCAGCACCACCACCACCACAGCTACAACCATCACAAGAAGCCACAGCAGCAGCACCACCACCACCACAACTAAAACCATCACAAGAAGCCACAGCAGCACACACACCACCACAACTAAAACCATCACCAGAAGCCACAGCAGCAGCACCACCACCACAACTAAAACCATCACAAGAAGCCACAGCAGCACCACCACCACCACAACTAAAACCATCACAAGAAGCCACAGCAGCAGCACCACCACCACAACTAAAACCATCACCAGAAGCCACAGCAGCAGCACCACCACCACAACTAAAACCATCACCAGAAGCCACAGCAGCACCACCACCACCACAACTAAAACCATCACCAGAAGCCACAGCAGCACCACCACCACAACTAAAACCATCACAAGAAGCACACAGCACACCACACCACCACAACTAAAACCATCACCAGAAGCCACAGCAGCAGCACCACCACCACCACAGCTAAAACCATCACAAGAAGCCACAGCAGCAGCACCACCACCACCACAGCTACAACCATCACAAGAAGCCACAGCAGCACCACCACCACCACCATAGGTAAAAACCATCACAAGAAGCCACAGCAGCAGCACACCACCACAACTAAAACCATCACCAGAAGCCACAGCAGCACCACCACCACCCCACAGCTAAAACCATCACAAGAAGCCACAGCAGCAGCACCACCACCACCATAGGTAAAAACCATCACAAGAAGCCACAGCAGCACCACCACCACCACAACTAAAACCATCACCAAAGCCACAGCAGCAGCACCACCACCACCACAGCTAAAACCATCACAAGAAGCCACAGCAGCAGCACACCACCACAACAGCTAAAACCATCACAAGAAGCCACAGCAGCAGCACCACCACCACCACAGCTAAAACCATCACAAGAAGCCACAGCAGCAGCACCACCACCACCACAGCTAAAACCATCACAAGAAGCCACAGCAGCAGCACCACCACCACCACAGCTAAAACCATCACAAGAAGCCACAGCAGCAGCACCACCACCACCACAGCTACAACCATCACAAGAAGCCACAGCAGCAGCACCACCGCCACAACTAAAACCATCACCAGAAGCCACAGCAGCAGCACCACCACCACAACTAAAACCATCACCAGAAGCCACAGCAGCAGCACCACCACCACCACAGCTACAACCATCACCAGAAGCCACAGCAGCAGCACCACCACCACAGCTAAAACCATCACCAGAAGCAACAACAGCACCACCACCACCACTAAAACCATCAGAAGCAACAACAGCACCACCACCAAAACCATCACCAGAAGCAACAACAGCACCGCCACCACCACCAAAACCATCACCAGAAGCAACAGCAGCACCACCACCATCACCAGAAGCAACAACAGCACCACCAAAACCATCACCAGAAGCAACAACAGCACCACCACCACCACCAAAACCATCACCAGAAACAACAACAGCACCACCACCACTAAAACCATCACCAGAAGCAACAACAGCACCACCACTAAAACCATCACCAGAAGCAACAACAGCACCACCACCAAAACCATCACCAGAAGCAACAACAGCACCACCACCAAAACCATCACCAGAAGCAACAACAGCACCACCACCACCACTAAAACCATCACCAGAAGCAACAACAGCACCACCACTAAAACCATCACCAGAAGCAACAACAGCACCACCACCAAAACCATCACCAAAGCAACAACAGCACCACCACCAAAACCATCACCAGAAGCAACAACAGCACCACCACCCACCACTAAAACCATCACCAGAAGCAACAACAGCACCACCACTAAAACCATCACCAGAAGCAACAACAGCACCACCACCACCACCAAAACCATCACCAGAAGCAACAACAGCACCACCACCAAAACCATCACCAGAAGCAACAACAGCACCACCACCACCACCACTAAAACCATCACCAGAACACAACAGCACCACCACTAAAACCATCACCAGAAGCAACAACAGCACCACCACTAAAACCATCACCAGAAGCAACAACAGCACACCACCCACCACCACCAAAACCATCACCAGAAGCAACAACAGCACCACTAAAACCATCACCAAAAGCAACAACAGCACCACCATTAAAACCGTCACCAGAAGCAACAACAGCACCACCACAACTAAAACCATCACCAGAAGCAACAACAGCACCACCACCACCACCACTAAACCATCACCAGAAGCAACAACAGCACCACCACCACTACTAATAAAACCATACACTCCAGAAGCTACAAACTAGCACCCACCTCCATACCATTAAAACATCACCAGAAAGCAACATCAGCTCCACACCACACACCATCCTCACTACTAAAACCATCACAGAAGCACAACAGCATCCACCACCACAACTAAAAACCATCAACAGAAGACAACAGCACCACAGCACCACCAAAAACCTAACAAGAAGCGACTCAACACCACCACTCAAATCTTCTGCAAAGCAACAGCAGTAGCAGTACCACCACCCACACCAACAGGAAGAGACAGTACCACAGTATCACCATCCTGTAAAGCCAACGTAGCCCCAGTACCTCAGTAACACATACCACACCTGTTACAGTCACCAGTATCAATACCACCACAGTCATAGCATCAGGTCTCACGTAGCTGCAACAGTATCAGCTAACACAACCACTGGCAAAGATAGTATAAACACAGTAGCACCCCATACACGCTACAGACGGAAAAGCAGAAGCTCTCAGTAATAACATACAGTTGTACCTGAATCAGCACCGGGGTAGAAGTCTGCATGGATTCACTGCGTCGCTGCGTTTAGGAAAGGGGAGGGATGAGGGGGCGAGCCCGGGGATGGCAGGAGGAAAGAGAAGGGGGTTTTGGTTAATAATAAACATCAGAGCCAGAGGTGATAACTGACAACCCTGATCCATGGCTCCTCTCATCCCTAAACCCATTACTCCCACCCTCGCACCTCCCTCACCCATCCCTCTCCTCTACTCTTATCCCTCTCTCTCTCCATCCCACTTCATTTTTTTTTTTTTTTTTTTTTTTTTTTTTTTACACAGGGTTTGACAAGGTTAAGGATCCCTAGCTTTATTGACAGCTATTTACAGGGTTAGGAATTCCTAACTTTATTGGCAAGCTAAGAGCTGTTACCTACATCAGCTCATTTGAAAGCATTTTTATTGTTATGAGACATAAAGTAGGGAACAGGATAAATTTTGGAGCCATCTGTGGGCCCAGCATTTTCATTTGATCAACTGACGTTATCTCTTTGACATCTTTATGCTGTACGAATGTTTTTCCATACTCGAGTCATCCTGGGTATGTATGATCTCAGATGGAGTGTTGTTCTGGAAAAGGGTACAGCCAGAGTGAAGTTGCTGCTTTCTGCCCGTCTTGTGGCATAAAAGCTTGTTTCACGCTGTCCTCGAAGTGGACCCAAAGTGTGGTATTTTGACAATATTGGCCTTGTACATAACAGTAAGGCCACCCACATCCCTCCTATGTTGAAGGCTCTGCTGAAATGACAGATCTATTCAGGATGGGTCCAGGCGAGAGATGAGACGTCTTGCTCTGTTCTCTACTCTGTCAAGCAGTCCCCAGATGAGAGGGGGGGCAGGCAAACCAAGAAAGTGGAGCATACTCAAGGTGGGGAGCGTACTTGTGACTCGTACAGGATCTTGCAACCCTACTGTCAAGCAGATGCGAGATACGGCGAAGTGCTGTAAGCTTTCCCGGTGCCTTGTTTGCAAGATTTACAAATGGTTCTTCATGGTTAGTTTGGAGTCAAATTTCACCCCAAGGATATCAACTTCTTTCCAGGTGCCAACACCCCCATTCATCCCTTTCTACTGCCCCAGCATTACCATCGTGGTGCCTAGAGACGATCATCATTTGCGTTTTCTCAGGTGCAAATGTTACTTGCCATCTATTTCCCCAAGCTGATACAGCTCTCAGCTGGTGATTGATGTAGCTTA